CTGCCCCCATCGCCTCCATGGCCGCTAGGAGAAAGCCGCGATCCACTGTATCGTATGCTTTGGCAAAGTCCAGGAATGCCAAAAGCCCTTGGCGGTTCTGCTTGCGGAGGAGGTGTGACAGGTGGCGCAGGAAGAGTACGCTGGCCCCAATCAGGCGCTTGGGGAGGAAGGCGGATTGCTCGGGGGTGATGACCCGTCCCAGGGCGGGGCCCAGGCGGTTCGCCAGTACCTTAGCAAGGAGCCGGTAGTCCGAGCATAGTAGTGTGATGGGGCGGTAGTTGCCTGGGAGCTTGGGGTCGCCTTTTTTATAGAGCACTGTGATGATCCCTTCAAGGAAGCCTGCGGGCACCTGCCCGGTCATGCCAATGGCAGTGAACAGGCCTGCCATGGTATTACCTATGGCTGACCAGAATTTCCTGTAGATGTCGGCCGGGATCCCATCCCACCCTGGGGCCTTGCCAGGTGCGCTCTTCTTGAGTGCCTTCCGCAGTTCGGTGGCTGTGATCTTTTTGGCTCCAAGCTGTTCATCTGCCTCTGCCGGGAGCTTAATGTTGGCTGCGGTGAGGGAGTTCAGTACGGCTTGGCGGGCCTGGGGGCAGATGAAGTCCGGGGCCTTGCTCACATCCTTCCAGAAGTCGGCTACCACCTGGGGCAGCTGAGCGGGGTTGGTAACAAGTCGGCCGGACGAGGCTTGCAGGGCGACAGGGGCTGGTTGTTGGTCTACAGCCTGGGCCTGGAGGAAGGCTGTAAGGGAAGGGCTTGGCCTCTCCCCTGCCCGCAGCCAGTGGGTGCGGGCCTCCATGGCATCCTTCCGGCAGTCTTCCCGATGTGCTCGTGCGAGTGTTGCCTGGGCTTCGACCAGTTGTTGAAGTGGCTGTTGTGCTGTGGGGGCTGCATCCACCGCTTGCCTTGCCAGCTGGACCTGCGGTAACACCTCCCGAGCCCGGGCCCCTGGTCTGAGCTTGCGGTGTTGTGCCGCCTTGTTGAGCTGAAGGGCCAGGGTGCTCAGCCGGCGTTTAAAAGCTGGCCACCACGCAATCAGGCCCAAAGGGTTGTCCTCCGCAGATGGTGCTGTGGCACACTGGCTGGTGATCCATGCCTCCATGCTTGCGGCTAGGTCCTGGTGTGATGTGAAGGCCAGACGCACTCGTCGGTTCCCTGGGCCCTTGCTCTCTGGTCGGCATGGCAGCAGGTGCATGACCATTGGCTTGTGATCCGACGGTGTTTGCACGGCAATCTCCGTCTTAGCAATGTACGGCATGGTGCCATGGTCTACATAGATGCGGTCTAGGCGGGAGGCCCCGACGCAGGGAGCTCTGTAGAAGTGGGTGTAGTCACAACTGTGGGGGTGCAGCTGGCGGTGGCTGTCCACCATGGTGGGGCCTGCTGCCCGAAGAAGGTCCACTGTTGGGCCATCTCCCCGTCGCCCTCCTGGGCCTGCTGTGGAGTCCATCCCTGGGTCTTCCACAAAGTTGAAGTCACCTGCCCAGACCAGCATGGTGTCACTGTTCTCGGCTGCATGCTTGGTGGTGGCAGACAGTGTGGCTGTAAACAGCGACTGCCGGATCGGGGTGGCTTGTGCTGAGGTACCCGTGGGGCCGTACACATTGCAGATGTGAATACGGTGTCCTCCCCAACGTAGGACACAGCTGGTAAACCGCCCTCTGACCCCAGGAGTGGGAGGCGGCTTTTCCAAGTTGGTAGCCAAATCCCGACGGACAAGGATAAGAACCCCCGCTTTGTGGGGAGAGTCTGACCAGGAGTAGGCCGCCACTTTCCACCCCTGGGTGTGTGCAGCGTGTGTTGCCAGGTTTAGCTCATTTTCTAGCCGGCCTTGGTCATGAGCATTGGTGTGGTGGGTTTCCTGGAGGCACACCACATCCAGGCCCATCTCTGCCCATAGCTTGACTGCTGCGTGTACTTTGGGTCTGTGTCTCGCCGTCATGCCTTGTACATTGTGTGTAGCAATCCGAAGGGGATGGCCTCGAGTGGCTCCCCGCTGGCGAGTCCCGTTGTTAGCTCTTGGACAGCTCATGTTACTGAACGGGTGGGTTGGTTGGGCCATCCCCTTCTGGGGGGCTGGCACTGGCCAGGGCCTGGGTCCCGGCGGGCAGTTGCAGCTGAAGGGTTGGAGTCAGGGACTCCTCCTGGGGTTCCTCTGGACTGCATACCTCCATGACCTGGGCCTCCGTGGCATCCTCATAGTCTGATTCCTGCATTTCAATGTCACTGCCAGTCGGGGCCTCCGAAGTCGCTTGTTGCTGCTTCTTTTTCGCCTGTTGCTTCTTTGGTTTAGCTGACTTCCCCGAAGTCGCGGCGGCTTCCCGTTTAGCTGCAGCTGAGGCTCTGCGGGCTTCGTTTGCCTTGGCCGTCTGTGCCCGGTTACGTGCCTTCCGCTCCTCCTCCGATAGGTGCTGCAGGCGTTGCTTGGCCTGACCAGTTCGGGGCTTAGGCTCCCGAGCTGGGGCTCTGGCTACTGCCTCTAGCGGTTGCTGTGCTGATGGGGTATCATCCTCAGACTGCTCCGCCACCATCTCCTCATCCGCCAGATCCGGCACCGCCAATGTATGCTCATCCTCCGAGTCCATGTCTGTTGCGGCTGGTTTCGAAGCTGAAGGTGTTGGTGCAGTCGGCTTGCCTGGGCCAGCTGCCCTGTGTAGCGCTGTTCCCAAGGTCTCCTGGCTGGCCTCCCGAGGGACTGCGGGTGGGTCGGGAATGGGGGTCTTCTTACCCTTCTTTCCTTGCAGCATCCAGCCTGTAGACCCGGTGGGACCCACCGTGTCGGTCCCGCCAGGTTGGGCAGTGGGTTTACTGCCGCCGCTGCCGCTGTTGTTGGGCTGCGAGGGAGGGACTCTGCTGCTACCGGGTCCAGTTGGCAGAGCTGGTCCACCATTGCCTCCGATCCTTTTGCCGCCGTTGTGCTCCCTTGGGGCCCGAAGTGGCATTGGCATGGGAGGTGGTGGTGGTGGTGGTGGTGGGGGCGGGGGGTAAACCATCTCCGCTGCATTTCCCTCAGTTGCCGCCGCCTGTAACCCTGACACCTGCGGCTCCACGGCCTGTCCCGGGGGTCCAGGGTAGCTTGCCGGGCGGGTGGGGCCGCTGAATGCTGCCATGGGCGGCATTGGTGGTGAAGGGTCTGCTGGGCGGGTTTGCTGGGTGTGGTGCCCCGCCGCCTCTCGTTGCCTCCGCTGCTGCTTGCGAAGCTCCTCCCGCGGTGGTGGACAGCGGGGCATAAGGTAGGGGTTTACCTCTAGGTTGGGTGACAGCTTGGCGGCCTTTAAACAGCCGACCTGGTGCTGCTCGCCCAACCACCCGTAGTACTCATATGGCATCTCACATGGCAAGCCCCGGTGATCACGGGGCAGGGTGAGCTGCCAGGTGTCGGCCATGGCCGTGGGGATCAGGTAGATAAATTCCGTCGCTGTGCGGGGCTGATGGCTGGTGCTGTATGCCCTGGCGAGGAACTCAGCGACCCCGTGGACGCTGAGTTTGGTGGGTACTCCCTTAATCTCCCACTGTACCGGCAAGACTTTATGCAGATTTTTGTTCTGCAGCTCCACCTCGATGGGGTCCTCGTTGGGGCATAGTTGCACCCCACTCACGCGAATGCGTTCACCGTAGGCCTCGAACAAGTGCGCTAATCCACCTTTTGGTACCAAAATGGAAAAGTCCATCGCAATGTTGCTCTCAGCCCCAGCTGCGTATATAAGCCGCTTCTCAATGCGTGGGCCGCCCCACCATTTGAACTCGGTAGAGCTGAAATGCTGGCCCAGGGTCGACCGAATAGCTGTTCCTAATGGTCCATATATCTGAGCCATTAAGTCATTCCGGTCGGACCTCGCGGGCCAATGGACGACGAGGTCAATGGTTTCCAACTCCAGCACCGAGCTGTATTTGTGGCCGTCCAGCGTTACTACGTTAAAGGCGTTAATCCGCTTTGGAGCTGCTTTTGCTCTGCCAGCGTTTGGAAGCTCTGTCGGCTTTCTCGTGCCGCCATTTCCAAGTGTCCTCGGCGCGGTAGTCCGCGGCCGTTTCCTCTGAGCCATTCCGTTCGCCATTTCTATCCTACCATTTCTGAGATGATAGGTTGGCAATTAGTTTGGCAACTGCGGCCGTGTGCGGCCGATGTCCATGGTAGCAATCAGGTTGCAGTCTAACGATCAGGTCGTCATTATACACCCATACATGTATGTATGTATGTATGTATGTATGTATGTATGTATGTATGTATGTATGTATGTATGTATGTATGTATGTATGTATGTATGTATGTATGTATGTATGTATGTATGTATGTATGTATGTATGTATGTATGTATGTATGTATGTATGTATGTATGTATGTATGTATGTATGTATGTATGTATGTATGTATGTATGTATGTATGTATGTAAGAATGTGTATTACAAAAATCACACGAGTGTATTGTTACAGTGAGTGTTGTTACGTGCGCCGCTCTTACCCAGCCCGAGACCCCCTTTGCTCAGCTGCCTCAGCTGCCTCAGCTGCCTCAGCTGCCTCAGCTGCTCTCCCCTCCCCCCTCCCACTTACCGGTGTGTGTGGGGAGTCCTCCAGCTGTTCACCCCACCTCACCTCACCTCACCTCACCTCATCTCCCACCATGACACGGCCTATCCCACACAAACCGTTTCTGCATTTTCGTATATATATGTATATATGTATATATGTTTATATGTATATCTGTATATATGTATGTATATATATGTACATATGTATATATGTACATATGTATACATGTATATCTGTATATATGTATGTATGTGTGTGTTTCCGTTAGTTGTTCATGAACCCTAACGCCACTCGCGCATGTATCCCCTTCCCGCCGCCGCCGGGGGCTGCAGGAGTTCTGGCGCTCGTGGAACCCCCACCGTACGGCACACGAGCAGCTGGTGGCGGCTCTCCAAGCGGGAACGATGACACAGCAGGTGAATGGGGCCCCTCACTGACCTGTAGTGCTTTCTATTGATAGCTGGTGGGTGGGTCCGTGAGACCCGTGGGTCGGTCGCCACGCCATGCTGTCCTTCTTTTAGAGAGCTCCGCTTCCCGACCTCACCTCGCTCCTCTTCAAGCTACAAATCTTATTGGATGAAAAATAAAACATTACAGGATTTTTATAAGCGAAATACGTGTGATGTCCTGGTATTTTTTTAAGTTTTAAAACACTTTTGTTTTAAACAGTTTTAAGTTTTGTGTTTTAAATGGTTCTAAAACAAGATAACACTTTGTTAGCTGTATCCTGCGGGCCGCGGCTGCTAATCCTGCCCCCAACCCGCCCGCGCAGTCGCACAGGGGCCGTTGGTGTTTTGCACTGTTGCATACAATGGTTTAACCCAAGGTGTAGCATACAAACACACACACACATACACATACACACACATAATCCTCCCCCCACCCTCCCCAACCCATCCTACTCACTCTCCCCACGCACCCACCCTACCCACCTACCACTAACAGGACGTGGATGCGTTGGTGCGAGCCGCTCAAGCCATCCAGCACGAGCCCATTCCGGGAACCGTGGGTCGCCAGGTGTGTGGGGTGGGTGGGTGAGGGGGGTGAGGGGGTGTGTGGGTGGGTGTGGGTGTGGGTGCATATGGGTGCATGTATATGGTGTATGTGTGTGTATGGTGTGTGTATGGGTTGGGGGGGATGGTGAAGAAGTTAGGCAAGCTTGCGGGGCCAAAAAAGGTGCCAGCTTGGTTTCGGAGCGCCAGGCGACCAAACTGTCCTTTTGGCGCGGGGTACTGTAGCCGTTCGGAAAATGAGCCCCAAGTTGTACGACCATCAACCTGGGCGCAAACGACGACGAAGTGGTTTCCGGGTGCCGTTGTTGGGTGAATGGGAAATGTCGTGTGACGTCCTTTTCTCAATTCCACTCTCACTCTCCCTGCTTTGGCCCCCTCCCTCTTTCCTTCCTTCCTCCTCCCGCCCTTTTCCCCGTCTCCCACTCACCTCCAGGACGCGTTGTGCCGCGGCTGGTACCCGCACCCGTCACCCTTCAAATGGCCCACCCCCCGAACCCGGGCGGAGTACATACAACACCCCAAAAAGCCCTCCCAGTTTAGGTACGTACGTATGTATGTACGTATATACGTTTGTTCCCACTGAGTCTGTATGTCTGTATGTCTGTATGTATGTATGTATGTATGTATGTATGTATGTATGTATGTATGTATGTATGTATGTATGTATGTATGACGTTGATTACACTGTGGGCTGAAAAGCCGGGGGCCCAGGGCCGAAGCACAGCGCGGGGGGCGGGTGCATACGGCTGGTTAGTCTCATGCACTCCGCCCCCGGGTCAGGCCGCACGGGAAACGACGGCCGGCACGCAACAGCGCTTGTTTGGCGCTCCAACTAGACGGGATCTATGCCCGTTGGTCTCCTAACATAAACGAAGTCGCAACTGGGGGGCTCTTCCTGCCGACCGAACGAACCGAGCATCTCAGAGAGCTCGCTACCAGGACTTGGGCGACCGGGAGCCCGACGAGTCTTCCCGGGCTGGGGAGGTCACCAAGCTCAAAAATCCTCACGCAAAAAAGAGCGCAAAGAG